TATAACTTTAACTTTAACTATAAATATAACTTTACATATAACTATGACAATAACAATAACAATAACAATGACTATGATTATGACTATAACTATAACTATAACTATAACTTTAACTATAACTTTAACTTTAACTATAACTTTAACTATAACTATAACTATAACTATAACTATAACTATAACTATAACTATAACTTTAACTATAACTATAACTATAACTTTAACTATAACTATAACTATAACTATAACTATAAGACTATAAGTCGAACCAGTGGATTTCTAATGCCAAGCCTAACCAGACTTTTAACCAATACTTGAGTCTTGTTTTTTAGTTCCTGCCTCCAATTTACAGTGTTTCCTGTAAGAAAAGAGCAGAAACAGAAACTGAGTGTGTTAACTTTGTGCTCCACCTTCACATCCAGACAGTTTACAACATCCATCTTTCCTCACAGAGGTCAGAGGTCAGGGTCTGGGCGTGTTTTTAAGGTCCTGCTCTCTGACTGGCTTAGGACATAACTGCAGAGGAAGACGAGCTTTCCTGAACAGAAACTCAACCTGAAAGATGAAGAGGAAGCACACACGCTCTTCCTCTTCGTCTTTCAGGTTGAGTTTTATGGACGTTTCTGGCATTTCGGTTTATTGGACAGTTGAGATTTGAGGTTTTACTGCAGTTAACGATTGCCTTGAAAAGAGGAGCAGTGAATACAAAATGTTTATTGAACTTACATTTAAATTTTTTATTGAACTGGTAGTATAATTATTTTAGGAATTATGCATGACTGATATTTGTTAAATATAAAGTTTTATCTCAGGTACCCCATACAGTGCCCTACAGTGGATTGACAGTGAATGCATTCATACAGTGCCAGAAAAAAAACAACTAAAGAGTTTATTGTTATAACAAAATGTTTTTCACACACACACGCACACACACACACACACACACATATATACATATACTGTAAAAAAAAGTATATGTAGCTGGGGTGCCAAAGTAATTTTCTATCATTAAAATACAGTCTCTAGGTTTAACTTTACATAAAATCTTGTGTAATTTTTTGTCTTTTTAATGTTTAAAGATATTTACACAATATAAATTACAAGCGAACAGTGCTATAATACAAATAATCAGTCTCCTTCAGCAGAGGACACTATGGACCATCCTTTAGAGACCGAAGGACAGAACACCAACCCACAACGTCTACGTTACTGTTTTTATCTTCTGCCATAAGTTTTTAATATCTTGTTCACTGTATCTTTATATTAATTCCATCACAGCCTGTAGTAAACTCAGCTGGTTCTGAAGTTGTGGTTCTGTGTGAAGCACTTTGTATGAACATTATTATATTAAAATAAAGTTTATTCTTGGTTGCGTAACGTAGCGTTAGCATACATCTTTGCTCATACTGGGCTTTGTTGTATTGCAGCTTTTATCATTAAATATTTTAATTGTTCTTCAGTCACAGAAACTTTTTTTTTATTGTCACATAAAGGAATATGTATATGTATATATACAATCTGTACAATATGTCTGTTATTATTTTAATGTGCCGTTTGTGCAGGAATGTGTCAAAGATCCCAGCATTCAGTATAAAGAATATCTCATGTGTGCATCAGTAGATTTATATTCCTGAGTTCAGCTGTGAAGTTTCTAAAAGGCTTTTTGTAGTTCATCTTCACAAGGTTGTAGTTTCACATCATCATCATTACGTAACAAAGGGCAGTGGATTCTCTCTGTTTGAGTCCTTATCAATTCTTTCCATCGAGGTCGAACAAAGAGTTCAGTAAAGACGGAGGACCGTCTGTATTCAGCTGCAGTCAGAGATAATCCTTTACAGTCTGCTGGAGCTCTGCAGTACCAGCACACAGCAACAGATGGCAGCACATGATCCCACATGTCCCTCCAGACCTCCAACCCTGCAGACATCTAACCCTCCAGTCCTCCAGACCTCCAGTCAGATCACATCTGTCTGCTGCTGTTCGGTTCCTCTGTAGGATGAAGCACCTCCTAGTTCTTGTTCTCACCTGGGTTGGGGGGGTAACTGAGGGAGGGGGGGTGAGCAGACACTGTCCAGCTGTGTGCAGATGTGAGGGTGTCGGGATGCTGCAGCAAGTGGACTGTGTGGACGTCGGTCTGAGATCAGTTCCCTCCAACCTGAGTGGCTTCACTGCGTCCCTGTGAGTACAGAACACTGACAATTATTATTATTATTATTA